TTATTTATTTGAAAATTGTAAAATTGAAACCTTTATTACAAAATGTCAACATTAAAAAACAAAATTTACTGTGTTGTTAAGTTGTCAGATAGTGAGATGTTGGCACTTGAGATTGACAAGCTCTTGTCGAATAATTTTAGCGTTTGTATTTCAATGTTGATGTTTTCAATATGGCCTGTGAGTGTGACACCTGAAAATCTTGACTACCTGACACAGGTAATAACAGGTAACTCTTAACCCCTCAATTTATTTACCGTAAACCTTTCAAAACAACCTGACTGCTGACTGGCCTCTTCAAAAAGCAAATTGACAAAGATTTGAAATTTATTAGAAACTACTCCTGCATGCAGCAGTTACAATAATTTATTGAAAAATATTAAGAGTTTTTTTTGCATGTGATAACTGCATGCAGCAGTTAAAATAATTTATTGAAAAATATCAGGGGGTTTGGGGGGGTTTTTTTGCAGTTAAAATAATTTATTGATAAATATCAGGGGGTTTGTTACATGTGATAAGAAAGATGTGATAAGAAAGATTATGGTAGCATTTCAATAATACAAATATTACAGTGAAAATAAGGTAGCTATATTATACTATTATAGAAAAGATTAACATTTGTTACAAAAATTACAGTAGCTATCGCCTTTTGTATATTAACTCATTTATATTGATGTAAATCCTGATACATCCTAGATAAGATACCGAGTTTAATCCTGTTAGATTCACACATTTTTCCACTTCTATCAACTTTAACAGATAATCGTTTCGTTAATCATTTTAACTTCGGTTTATCACCCCGGTTGTATGTGACAAGGTCCTCCGGTTTCCTCCAACTGCTAAAGGCCCCTACACACCAACAAATTTTTGAAATAAAACTGAACCAAATGTTAGTCCCAAAATGAGCTAGTTTGTGTTGTGTGGACGTTAAACCTCATCTCTCTATTAAACATAACAATATATTGATATTTTTGTGAATAATCCCAGAATTATATATTTATTATGTCAATATTTATTGAATAAAATTTATTAGAACAAAAGGGGGATTGGATGGCCGAATGGTTAGCACGTGCGTGCTGTATCATAAAAGCCTGTCATTGAGTCAACTGGCGTGGTTTCGAATCCCCGGTTGTATGTGACAAGGAGTAGGGTCGCCTGTCCAACCTCGTGGGTTTTCTCCGGATCCTCAGGTTTCCTCCCACTGCTAAAGACCCCTACGCAAAATGACCTAGTTTGTGTCGAGTGGACTTTAAACCCCATTTCTCTCTCTCTATCTATTAGAACAAAAAATTGGCCTATTCTAAGTTAGTCAGAGTTTGGGTTTATGATACTCATAATTTCTACAGTCATTTATTTCATATAATTTAGGGTTTTTTTCTCATTGACAGGTCGAATTCAAAATAAATGCAGGCTGTCTGGGCAAAATTTCTCTAGTAGCATCGCATATGCCCGTCTTCATTAGCCCAGTCTGTGCAGATCAGTAGGAAGTTAAACCCCATTTCATTTCAAGTTTCTCCTTTCTCTTTTAAAGCGAATGCTTGAAATTTAGACGATTTACAGTAAATGTGTATTTTATCAAAAGGTCATTGACACCAGTAATTAGATTTGTTCTACCTGGACATCCATGTCACATGATACACATTCTGATCGCATGACACTTATTGTCTCAGCTGGGATAAAACAACAAATGGTTAAATTCTGGCACCTGAACTGTCAAATATTACCAACTTGATCAACAGTTCCAAACTTAGATTAATAAATATTACAAAATGATTACCAAACATACCAATAAATATTACATGATGGTTACACAATTTACTTCCTCAAATCAACCTATCAATATTTTAAAATTACTAAAAAACTAAATATTACTAAATAATTACCAAACAAGATTATCGTACAATTTACACACCAATAAATATTACACAATAAGTATACAATTTACACACCAATAAATATTGTAAGATTAGCAATATTACAATCTTATCAAATATTGGTATTGAATAAATACAAGCCAATTCAAACTTTTTATTCAATGCTTGTAAAGATGCAACATTTGGTTATGAGATTGGAAAACAATCCGAACTTCTTTAAATTCATGCCCTGAGAGAGATTATTTATTAAAACACAATTTTTTCATTAAATAAAATAATTATATGATATAATGATTGGAAATTTTAATTATATGGATATTTGATCCATAATTTTAAAACAAAATTTGAAAATCAAATCGGAACAAATTTTTGTTAGAAATAAGATGAATAGTAACTTTCAATATTTTTTCTTGATTTACAAAGGTTAATAGAAAAGTTTCTAAACCTTAAAGCTAATAACAACATCAATTTAAAGTGTCTTTTATATTTAATTACATAGAAAATTTGTTTATCTTCATCAAACAAAGACATAAAAATATTAGTGTTCAAATCTATATAAATCACCAAAAAATATTATTTTAATTTGTGACGAGGGCAACAACATGTTTATTTGAATGTAAAAAGGAGTCAAAATATTTATTTGGGAATCTGTTGAAGTCAAAGTTTTGATTGTTTTTCAAGAGTTTGGATAATATTTATTTAATGAGAGAAGAAAGTAAGATAATATTTGGGAAGAGGTGTCCTTTAAGGGGAAAATACCTGTTGGCATTAGCATAGAAAATTAAAAAGATTTGCTGAAATAGGAGAAACAAACATTGTTCTAGAGAAAGAGGTGTTTTTATAGTAATATACATGTTTTCTAATTACAATTTACACTGTTTGTATATAATTACTACTAGAATTAATTAATATAATTAAGCTTAACGAGTCTCTACTATTTTAGAAAATGAAGGTTTAAATATTTTGTTTGGGATTAATTCAGATATCAAGGAAATTTATTTTTAGTTGAAGTTATGTTTTAAAATTAATTATTTCCAAAACTTTGAATTCAAAATTATTTCCAAAACTTTGAATTCAAAATTATTTCCAAGACTTTGAATTCAAAATTATTTCCAAGACTTTGAATTCGAAATTATTTCCAAAACTTTGAATCCAAATTTATTTCCAAAAATTCGGATTCAACATTATTTCAAAAAATTTGAATTTAAAATTACTTCAAAAAATTTGAAATTAAAATTATTTCTAAAACATTGAATTCAAAATTATTTCTAAAACATATTGAATTCAAATGTATTTCTAAAAGTTTGAATTCAAAGTTATTTCTAAAAGTTTGAATTCAAAGTTATTTCTGAAAGTTTAAATTCATCAAATTTTATATTCGAAATTATTTCTAAAAGTTTAAACTTTGAATTCAATTAATTAATTAATTTTCTGACAGTTAATTGACCTGAAGCTAGAATTAGGTTTATAGATTAAATCATTTGTAGCCGGTTTATGTCGACTTTATTTGTCAACACATGTAGATCTACATTACTATACATTTACAACCAGTGGGGGAATGGATTGATTAAAATGTCATTAGTAATTTTAATCTTCTTTTGATTTTTATGACATTTTTTTTATCCAAGATTTGATTAAGTTTAGAAGTTAATAAAGATGACATTTATTGCTGTTTAATTTACTTCTTGTAAGTTGAAGTGAATAAGTTTAAGAATATGAAGTTTAGCTGATCATAAAATCATTAATAATGAGGTGTTACTATGACATTTACAGCTTTACCTACACTAAAACTGTTCATACTCACACAAATAGCAACAATGTTACAGTTTTAATTCTCCTTAAAGATCTATAGTATTACTTGATCTGAGTTTAATTAAGTCCACTTTAATAAGATACAGAATTTGATTTAGTAATTAACAAGTTGTTCAGGTAGCAACACCTTTTTACAAAACATCTTACACTTGAAGTTTTTGACATTTAGTAGCGAACTATTTAGCTTGTTGACGTGGTGTCATTGACAGAATTAATTAAAATTGAATGGTTAGCTAATACAGTAAGTGATAGTTGTAGGCAGGTGAGATCAGATTAGGATTAAAGAACACTGATTATCAAATTAAAATGGATTAAATCATCAAAATTGTTTCAATATTATCAAATTTTCATATATACCGCTGTAGATGTCCTTAATTAAAGACAATATATGTAACATTTCTTTTACAGCCTTTTAATAGAATATGTCGATTGTATTTTAAAGATACCATGGCTGATCATAAACATATTATTATATTATTCTTGTGAATTTGAATATTTAATAAACATTCAATACTGTGTTTAGAATACGAAGATGTTCTTTATTCTGTGTCCATTGTACACCTTGTCTTCTTTTTTGTTCATCTCTTGCCCCCCCCTCCACCATCCGTTCAAATCTCTCCATTTATCCCTTTTCCTCTTTCCCTCCCCCCTTATCCATCCAACACCCTTTAATCTCCCCCTCTTTTCCCGTCAAGTAGCAGGTGGCACTGGCTTGTTTGTATCATCTGTACAGGATATCATTTATTACATCCGTGTAAATATTGAACAGAATTGAACGTTTGTTGTACTGCTATTCGTTTTAGAGATACAAATTTTATAATTCTTAAGGGATTGAGTCAAAGTTTGAATCTTAGATGTTTTTATTACTTGAAAATCATAGCATTTTATTGCAGGGTTTTGTAGAATGCTGTAAATTTATTGAACAAGATAGTAGATAAATAACTTGTTGTGATGTGTACTGATATTTTACTGTGGAATACAATGTGCTAATATTTTACTGTGGAATACGATGTACTGATATTTTACTGTGAAATACAATGTGCTGATATTTTACTGTGGAATACGATGTGCTAATATTTTACCGTGGAATACGATGTGCTGATATTTTACTGTGAAACACGATGTGCTGATATTTTACTGTAGAATATGATGTGCTGATATTTTACTGTGGAATACGATGTACTGATATTTTACTGTGGAATATGATGTACTGATATCTTACTGTGGAATACGATGTGCGGATATAATATGCTGTGAAATACAGTGTAATATTTGATTGTTTTGATGATTGAATTGGTTAATTTGTTATATTTTTAGCTTAGAAGGCGTAGTGATGTGGCTTTACCCCGTGTTCTAGGGGGACGAGGTTGTCCCCCTTTTCTTCATTCATCCTCTTTGGTAAGAACGAATGTAAAGGAATTAGATGTATAAATGTGATAATTGTATCTTTAACTTCTCTCTCTCTCTTTGTCTCTGTTATATGGTTTTGTTTTCTATATGTAGATGTCTTAATGTCCCTTCTCTCTTAAAGATGCATTATGTAAGTTAAAGATCTAAATAACGAGCTGACAGTTCCCACTATAATAGTTTAAAAATAGATAATGAAAAGGAAATATCTTGAAAATTTCAGTCAAATTACTTTATTTTGATTGAAGTTATGGCTGTTTGAAGAAAAGTGTAGTCTTGATTGTCATTGCTACCATTGTTAATAAAAAAGGTATTAGGCAGATTTAGCTTTTACATAATGCATTTTTAAATACAACTGAAATTCATTGATTTATTTTTTAGATTAAACTCGCTTTATTTACAGTTTGTTATTGTTTACAATTTTAGCTTTAGGCAGAACCAATTTTGATTTTTGTTTTTTTGGGATCATTTATTAAATATTTTGGTATTTTTTTGGGGGGGTGGGGGGAGGATGCTACGGTGGTGGCTTAGAGAGTAAGACATTGGCTCGCTAACCTGAAGTTCCAGTGTTCCAACACGCAGTGTTGGCCAAGAAAGTTCATTAGGAATTTCTGGAGTGGTTCCCGCTTTTCAGTTGTGTAGATCAGGGGGCCTGGCAAATGACAAGGCATAGTCGTTTGAATGGGATGAAAAAGAAAGTACTGTGTACATATTGGCATGCCTGTTAAAGATTCCTTGGCACATGAAATTTGAAACAAGAATAAGCCGTAGAGCCACTTTCCTGACAAGATTTCCATGGTAGCACACTGTATGTTGTATGCCCGTCTTCATTAACCCAGTCAGAGCAGAACAGTAGGATGTCAAACCCCATTTCATTTTAAAAAAAAATTCCAATTTTTTCTGCTTTGGAATTTTTTTATTTTTTTTAAAAAAAAACTCCATTCACAATTTTTAGAGGCAATTTATTTGGAGAATCACTCAGTGTTAGTTGAAAGGGTGGAAAGGAATTGGTTTAGGTTAGTTGAATGGTAATGGTGAGATAATTGACCTTTGTTAGTTCAAAGGGTGGGAAGGAATTGGTTTAGGTTAGTTGTAAGGGAAGGAATTGGTTCAGTGTTTCTATGTTGTGTTGTAATATTTTTGTGTTGTAATGTGTTGTATTTATAATAATACTATTTAATACACAGCCTAGCTGGAAAGTCTATGTTGGACGAATAATCAGTTGTTCACTTCAATATTTTCTAATTGTAAATAAATTGATCAAACGTCTAGATCAATATATTATTATTGTTACCTCTTAAATAAAAATTAAAACTTTATTTACATCTTAATTTCACAGATTCTTCTGCTTTATTTAATTTTATCTTTATAACTTTTTATTATTATTTAGCGGATATTTTCTACTGGGACTTTTTTAATTCAATCTGATTAAAACACAGATCCTTTTTCGTTCCGTTTTTTATAGTTCAAAATTTCGTTTTACTTGTCTTTACTACACTAGGATCTGAAAGAATTGTTATATAAGCAGCGTTCTGGTTGATGTGAGGGATTAGCCAATGAAACAGCTCATATACCCCTTGATGCGACCTTTCCGTATAGCTGGTAAGATCTTCATATAGTGTAGGCCATCGAAAGTATAAAAAAAAACGAAACGAAATATAGATCTGTATTTTGATCAGATTGATTTAAATTACATATTAATGCATGTGCATTGCATGTTAATTTAGCCTCTCTGCATGTTTTTTTTTGTTATATAATTTGCTATGTTACCCTATATAGGATCATTCTATCTTCGAGAAGAAGATTGGTCAATTTAAAGACAGTTCTTCACTAACTTCATCAAACTCTTTCGATGACGAAGAGGTAAGAATTGACAAGGGCATTAACTCTGCTTATATTGTATAGGAACTAATTATACATAGATTTTGTGGAACGGTAAAACTACAAGTAGCTAGCTTCTTAGTATCTTTATTTTTATTAATCAATTTTTGATTAAGATGCATTTTGTTTCTATTCAACAAAAAAAGAGATCGCGTTTTTAAAAATGGAAAGTTGAGTTGGAAATGTGTGGTACTGTGATGTTAGTCCCAAAATAACCTAGTTTGTGTTGAGTGGACATTGAACCCCATTTCTCTCTCTCTCTCTCTCTCTCTCTCTCTCTCTCTTGTTACTATTATAATAGACATATAACTTGAGTGGGCTCAACACAATCTGTTTCTAACAACTAGTATAGGAAGTCACAGCGGCTCAGTGAGTAACACATTGGTTCGTTAACCTGAAGGTCCCGTGTTCAATCTCTGCGTTGTGCGATAAAGTTCATCAAGATTTTCCTGTTCGGATGGGAAGAAAATCTGAGGTCCTGTGTACACATTGGCGTACATGTAAAAGATTCCTTAGCAATTGGAGTTTGATATATGAAATGAAATGAAATGGGGTTTAACATCCTACTGTTCTTCTCCTATACTGGGCTAATGAAGACGGGCATATGCCATACAGTGTGCTATGAGGCAAATTTTGCCCGGGCAGCGGCACTATCGCCTACTCTTATATCGAATTCCAACTGCCAAGGGATCTTTTACGTGCATTCCAATGTATACACGGGACCTCGGTTTTTCGTCTCATCCGAACGACTAGACAGCTGTCCTTGTCAGGCCCTCCGTCCTGCATCACTGACAAGGGGGAATCCCACCGGAAAATCTGGATGAACTTTCTCGGCCAATGCAAGGATCGAACACCCGACCTCCAGGCTAGCGAGCCAGCGTCTTACCCACTTAGCCGCGTGATCCCCGGAGTTTGATATAAGACTATGCCTTAATAGCGTCACTGTCCGGGCATTATTTCTCACATAGCAAACTGTATGACATGCCTTGCTTCATTAGCCCAGTTCGGGCAGAGCAGTAGGACGTTAAAGCCCATTTTATTTCATTTCACAATTACTAGTGTGCTTGTCAGCAAAGTCAGTACAGGTGAATGAAACTATCCTTAGTTTTAGATTGTCGTAGAAACATATACTGCCCTTAGTTTTAGACTAGGCTACAAGCCTCGGCTTGATATGGTACCACCTAAAAGACTGCAAGTACCATGGTATTCTGTCCTTTATCGTAGCAGTACGCAAAACCCCCACTCAACCTCCGGTTTGGGTAGTTTTTATTATGTAATCCTATCCTATAAACTTGATGTTGTGTGTAGGTATATATAACAGTAATAAAAAGACAATATGGTGAAAGGAATGCATCTTATATCACTGCATATTACAAATATTACAGCTTATTTTCTTGTGTGTAGTTGTGTTGTGAATGAATGTATAAATCTTTTCTAGTTTGTTTTATATATCAAGTTTCAGTTTTCTCTCACAATATATAATATTATTTACAGTACATCTGATTGATCTTAATGTCGATTTACTGACGAGGATGGTATGGAAGAAATTCTGTATCATCACTCGTCATCGACTACAGTTCGTCATCAACTACAATAATGACACCAGAGGCATTTTGTCAACCGATTTTGTGTATCTTAAAGGGGGGGGGGGGTAGTGGTCTACCTTGGGGGAGAGACAGGTTGCCTACCTTGGGAACCTTGGGAAGGGGTGGGACAGGTTGCCAACCTTGGGGGGGATGATCTAACGTGTGTATTTAAGATATTAAGGTCTGTTAGTTCATAAAGTAGCACAGTTTTAATTCTGCTTATGTATGTCGTGACAAAGAGTTGGGGGTTAGGCATGGTCTAACATGTGCACTATAGATCTTAAAGTCTGTTATTGAGTCAAGTAGCATGGTTTCAATCCCACACTTGTACATCGTGACAAAGAGTAGGGTCACTGGCCTAACTTGATGGGTTTACTCCAGGTCTTCCAGTTTCCCTCCATTGCTAAAGACCCCAAACTTTAAACAAATTACTGGGAAAAAAAAAATTCTACCCGAAATGACCTGGTTTGTGTTGAGTAGACGTCAGATGTAGTTAAAAATCAACTCTCTCTCTTTTGTGTAATTAATTCCAGACACTTTCAAAAATGGGCCTAATATTTTACAGAAATAAAACATCAGTTCATATTGAAATATCAAGGGAGAAGAAACTATTATATTGAACCCTTGTATCTTTTATACAGAGGAGTTGCTGTGGCTCAATGAGTAAGATGCTGGCTCACTTGCCTGGAGGTTCTCTGTTCGATTTCCATGTAGACAGAGATAGTTCATCAGGATTTTCCGCCGTGGTTCCCCCTGGTCAGTTGTGTAGGATGGACGGCCTGGCAAGGGATGGGACGAAAAATCAAGTTTCAGTGTACACATTGGCGAGAACGCAAATCAAACCTTGGAATTGGAATTGGAAATAAAAGAGTACGCTTAAAGCCAGCCTTGTACTTGAGGTTCTATACAAGAGAGATCTGGGTAGTATAGATTCTATGTTGATTGTTTTATTTGTTACAGGACCCTAAACAACGCTTTCAATCAGCAGTAGCTAGTACTTCCATGAAGAACGCTGTAACTACAGTTATTAGAAGAGCTTCCTTAGAACGTCAGTCCAGTCTATCACCAAGTCGTTCCTCATCCCGAGAAAATTTGACAGAGATAAAGTAAGTTATATGTTGTAAATATATATTCACCAAATCTTACCTGTTTGACAGAAATACAGTAAATTAATGCTGCAAATATTTAACCACCTAGATGTAATCAGGTTTTGTTCAAATGAAGTAAGTTTCTCATTTTTGAGGTTGTTTTTTCTTAACTCCAAATGATTTTCATTCCTGTTAAAGTGAGTTGTTAATCCGAGATGTTAAATTATAAAATTAAAGGGATGTCAATCCATGATATATAGCAGGGTCACTAGCATGTTGGTGACTCACTCGGTGGGTTCTGGGACCCCCAGTTTCCTCCCACTGCTAAAAACTGGACCTCTCTCTCTCTCCCTCTCTCTCTCTCTCTCTCTCTCTCTCTGTATTTCATCATTTGTTTTACTTCATTTGTTTTACTTTATACAGAAAAGAGAAAGAAGAATCCAGATCACTTCGACCCAATTTAATCGCAGCTAAGAAAAGTTCACAAGAAGAAGAAGCCTATCAAAAAGGGTAAGCTTTAAATCTGGGGACGTATTTATAAAAATTCTTAGAGTTTTCATACCTTTTACTCTAAGACTTCCTAAAACAACATTTAGTTAAAAGTTACTCTTTAGAAATATTTATAAAGGGTCTTAGAGTTACTTTTAACTAAATGTAAGACTTGGGTCCTAACCAAACTCTTAGCATGTAACCATGGGAAATCCGGGGATTCCCTGAAGTTATTTATAGCTCAGTGTTGATGTCATGCAATCACTCTACTCACTGTAGGTTGACTGACGCCGAAATCGTCACCACTACACAGTTGCATTTTACCAGTAGCTAGGAAACGAAGCGTAATGGCGATCTTCATCTCAGCGTTGATTGAGAAATTTCGTTAAGTAGGACTCGTAAGTAGATGCCGAACTAAATCTGTCACAAAAAGAATCCCACCCATGTCCATTCGATATCTCCTTATCAACTCGTCATTGTTGTACTCCACTAAGAAATCTCTTCTTGTTTTAAACTCTCTTAGGCGGCGTACACGGACAGCCATGTTAACCAAGATAAGAGTACTTTTAACAAGTTAGGAGTGCTACAGGAGGACTCTTAAATATGTGTCATAGTTAGGAGTAATTCTTAAAGTAAAATGTTTTATAAATAGGTCTTAGGAAAATCTACAAAGTTAGGAGTAATTTTTGACAGTTAAGAGTTGGTTCCAACTCTTAGAATTTTTATAAATACCGCCCCAGAGCTTTACGCTATTCTTATTATCACATGACTATCATACCAATCTATTTCGTGGAGGTAATGTAAAAGCCTTCTGTTAACTCTGTACACGATGACATGTAGTATAGGTCCATGTGTGATGTCACAACATACCGTGTCAGTAACGTGTGCATTGTGTACATTGTAAGTAGTAACACAAATTGGTCTGGGCAGAATTGATGCCTTCCCGTACTATGTCCTGTACCCAGTAACACTAAAACAGGAAATATTCCTTTATCCTGACATACGTTGTATCCTAAAAGTCAACTGGCATGGTTTTGATTCCCCGGTTGTATGTGACAAGGAGTAGGATCGCCTGTCCAACCTTGTGGGTTTTCACCGGGTCCTCTGGGTTCCTCCCACTTCTAAAGACCCCTACGCGGATGCAAATTATTGAAATAAAATTGAACCATATGTTAGTCCCGAAACACGAAACGACCACATTTGTGTTGATTAAAACCCATCTCTCTCTCTCTCTATCTCTCTCTCTCTCTTTCTTATTGTGCTATATGTTTGGTCATGTTATCGTTTGTTGTTTTACAGATTTGAAGATGGTGTTAAGATGAAAATCAGTAAAGATTTGGGCAAATTACGGGAACAACAAAATGGTGTGTCATCAACGCTTGAAAAAATCATGGATAAAGTTGAACAGGAGAAACAAGATGAAGAAGAGGATATGTAAGTTCATATTTAACTTTCTATGATTGATCAGTAGTATTTGCAATCTGATTAAAACACAGATCCTATTTTGTTTCGTTTTTTACAGTTCAAAATTCTGTTTGATTGTCTGTACTACACTAGGATCTGAAGGGGTGTTAAACAGGTGTTCTGGATGATGTGAGGAATTAGCCAATGAAACAGTCTGTTACGGCGAGTTCTTGGCATGCTGTGCACGGAACTGTGGGTAACCCACTAGGAACATATACGCTGAGTGGTTAATCAAATGTCTCACGTCATAGGGTCAAAAGCCGTTGTATCATAAGGTCTGTCATTGAGTCAACTGTCCGGTTGTTAGTGACAAGGAGTAGGGTCGCCTGTCCAACCTCGTGGGTTTTCTCTGGGTCCTGTTTTCTCACACTGCTAAAGACCCCTGCGCACAAGCAAATTATTGAAGTAAAATTGAACCATATGTTAGTCCCAAAACGACTTAGTTTGTGTTGTGTGGATGTTAAACTCCATTTCTCTCTCTATTGAAATGTGTCATTATTATTATATTTTTCAGTAAAAACAGCGATAAACTGAGACAAGCGTTGATGACTAAAATCAAGATGTTTATCCCAAACAAGAAAGAATTTGGACAGAGGATACGATATACCCTAGCTGGACTTATTTTTGCTTTCGCTGTTCTGACGGCCATTGTTACACTGATGCCTAGCAATGTGTCTGCTGTAGAAATAGTCACTGATGTACGACATCATGCTGTACCTCCGTTATAAATCTGTCCGGACAAGATCACGCTTATAAATCTGTCCAGACAAGATCACACCCATAAATCTGTCCGGACAAGATCATGCTCATGAATCTATCTGGACTAGATCATGGTTATAAATCTGTCCGGAAAAGATCACACTTATGAATCTGTCTGGACAAGATCACACTTACAAATCTGTCTGGGCCAGATCACGCTCATGAATTTGTCCGGACAAGATCGCATATATGAATCTGTCCGGACAAGATCACGCTTATGAATATGTCCGGACAAGATCACGCTTATAAGTCTGTCCGGACAAGATCACCCTTGAAAATATCCATTTCCAGCAACTCTACATGGAAAAGAACCTTTTATCATAATTTCATCCAGGAAATAACATTACATATTTCTTCAAACGAAAATAAAGACAAAACTATTATAATATAAAAAAGTTTGTTGGAAATCAGACCCTGTTACGATCTTATCCAGAAAAAAAATAATTAAATATACTATTTCCAAAATAAATCGAAGTAAAACTTTGATAATTGAATGAAGATAAAAAAGATGATACAAGTTTTTCTATAGACAACATCAATGGTTTTTGAAGAGTCTGTACTCTTGCTGTAAACAGACATTTTACATGGTCACTCATTAGTAGTTTAATTAATATTTTTATAGCAATTGTTAACAAATTCACTTAAAACTTAATCTATGCAATATTGATTTGACAGGAGAACAGGGGCATTAATTGAACAATAAAAAATAATAATCACCAGTTACAGTGAGCCATGGTGACTCAGTGAGTAAGGTGCTTGCTCATATTGACTAGTATACAAAGTTACAGAGAGCCATGGTGACTCAGTGACTGAGGTGCTTGCTCATATTGACTAGTATACAAAGTTATAGTGATCCATGGTGACTAAGGTGCTAGCTTATATTGACTAGTATACATAGTTACAGTGAGCCACGGTGGCTCAGTGAATAAAGTGCTTGCTCATATTTAAGCATATAGTTGCTGAGGGTTATATACGATGGCTCAATGATAGAGGTGCTTGCTAATATTAATGCATATTTCCAGGTGGCTATATGTATTAGGCGCTAGCTCACATTTAGTTAACAAGCAATATAAAAGCTGATACAGGCCAGATTATGATATATATACTGATTTAGCAATAATATAGTCAGCTGTGGAAATAATCATTATAAAATCTGACATAATGAAAGGAGAATCTGCTCTGCCTTTGTTGAAGAGATAAACCAAAGGCTATTTGCTGCTATAAGAATAAACTTTGATTTTAAGTTATAAGTATATATTTATATATGCTATTGTAGATTGAATGAAAACGCTAATTTGTACAAAAGCATTTATTATTATAAAATATTGTTGTAAAATGTTGTTGAATTTAATTCTAAACTTAAAATATTTTAAATTGTGGTTGAAATTATTGTACATATATATATATATTATACTAATAACTTATTGTAAAGTGTGCTGTGATTAGTCAATAACTTTTTGTTGAACCAATCGAATTAATTGTTATATAAATTTTAATATTGTTACCATTGTTTTACAATTTTAAACTTTGATGATATTAGATTGAATTTAACATGTTACTAGTAGAATATTATGAAATGGAAAGTAGACAATTGTAAATTGAAAGTAGAATACTACTATATTCATTTTAGTTTTGAATAGTGCTGATGTTGTTTTAAATATTTTACTGAGGTCAAAATCAATTGCCTTCCTGATATATTTGACTGTGTACCAAAAACCTTTGTCACTAACAAATTTTCCAAAACATTTATTAGATACACCTCAAATTCAACCCCTGACGCCCAAAACGGGATGAAGGGGAAGGTAACTCGGTGTATTCTATAAGGAACTGACGATAATAATAACATATCATATTAATTTAGTATAGATCATCTGTACATATTATGTAGTAAATATACTTATAGGAGCATTATGTCAAAATATATAATAATAATTAAAAATTTCATGTTTCAACAATTAATTTCTGGACATTCATTCATCCGGTTAGATTTAGACCTTGACGTAGAAAAATCGTAGTTTATTGTTATTAATGGGTTGACCAATAGCAATTTAATAGTTGACTCTGTAACAAGTTTTAAATTCTTTTTAAAAAAAACCTTCATGAAAATATTTTGATATAAGTTACATCATTTCATTCTAATTTTAAATGCTGATTAAAAAATTCTCATAAATTTGTTTCAGATATTCAATTAAATTTACTGGGGAGAACATTCTCAAACATTTTAACACTATATTTACTTTATAAATTATCCTATATCAACAAGTGGTCTTATCCCATTTCGACCAGTCATCTTATCAGTGGTCTTATCCCATTTCGACCATTTGTTTGAAATATAGAAAGTGTATATATGTGATAAAAGCTATAAACATTTCTCCAAATTTTGCACTAGTTAAGGGGGCATTATGTAAGATTTAGATAAAGAGCTGATCGTTCCCGCTATAATAGTTCAAAGATAAATAATACAAATTGAATATATTGAAATTTTCATTCAAATTACTTCATTTTGATCAAAGTTATCAATGGTTGTAGTTTTGACAAGATGTGTGCATTGATCGTAACCACTGTACTGGTCATTTGAGTCTTAGTCTCACTTCTCCATTTTTAAATTGAATCATTAAATGGCCGAACCGTTTTAATCTACCTAAAATCGGAGCCATCCTGTGGCATCAAAAGTTGATTACGGTCTTATCGTCTTAATAAATGACTAATTAATAATTTATATAACATCCGAGGCCTTACGAAAGACCTACAATAGGAAAATTTACCTCTTACATAATGCCTGTTTAATATTTGAAATATTGAAAGTTTATATGTGATGGAATCTACAAACATTTCTTTATATTTCGGACCAGTTATTAAATACATAAACCAATTAGTGCTATGATTGTTAATCAAGAAGTAGACCATAGTGCCCCTGTCTTGGCGAAATTGCACACTGCATGACACACCCATCTTCATTAGCCCAGTCAGTGCAGAAAAGTAGGATACTAAACCACAATTCAGTTGGACCAGTTGATATTAAATAAGTTTAAGCCTGTCAGTGGCTTGTTAATGAAGATTGTTCTGGTTTATTATCAACCAGTGAAAGTTCTGTATTTTATTTGTTTTTAATGAAAAGTTGATTCAATGCTTTACTGTTTATATTTTAATTCATTTTCAATTTTACATCATTTTTGTTATCGACAATAAATCAGTTTTTCTATGTTCAAATCTTGAAGTTTCTTAAATAAGGATAAAATCAGTATGGAATCGTGTAGATTTGGTACATGAGCCGTGTAGGGTAGACATACTATGAGAGCTGTGTTGGGGGGTTTGTAGGGTAGACTTGCTACAAGATTTGTGTTGGTTAGGGGGGTGTAGGGTAGACTTGCTACAAGATTTGTGTTGGTTAGGGGGGTGTAGGGTAGACTTGCTACAAGATTTGTGTTGGTTAGGGGGTGTAGGGTAGACTTACTACAAGATTTGTGTTGGTTAGGGGGGTGTAGGGTAGACTTGCTACAAGATTTGTGTTGGTTGGGGGGTGTAGGGTAGACTTGCTAAAAGATTTGTGTTGGTTGGGGGGGGGGGGTAGACTTGCTAAAATAAATACCTGTTTGGGGTCTGGATGGTTGACTTGCTACAAGAGCCGTGTTGGTTGGGGGTCTGGATGGTAGACTTGCTACAAGAGTTGTGTTGGTTGGGGGTTTGGACGGTAGACTTTAGTAGATGGTAGTAAATGTTGGTATCCCTCTGACATTTTAATTGACACACCATTCTTGGAAAAATTCTCCTCCATTTTACATAGAGCGATGCCTTCTCCTATATTAGGGGTCCGCAGTAGAGTGATGCCTTCTCCTACACTAGGGGTCCACGTTAGTCGAGCACTGGCCTCACTTAAATGTCATGAATTTGAATCCCAAGGCGGGTTGTCACTTGACAGGGGTGGTGGTTCCTAGTCTTTCGGAAAAGACAAAAAAACAAGATCCTTTAAATGAGCACTTTAAAAGTCGTAAATTGAAGAAGAGGCGGAAAGCCACACAGTCTGGTGGTTCCTAGTCTTTCGGAAGAGACAAAAAAACAAGATCCTTTAAATGAGCACTTTAAAAGTCGTAAATTGAAGAAGAGGCGGAAAGCCACACAGTCTGGGCAAAATTCTTCTTCCACTCATTTATTTAATTGAATATTTATGCCTGTCCGTCCACAGGCTCTAGAGACTAGAACACAAGGTAGTCTTTTACTATCCAGACATATTTTATATAATTTTGCTACCGATTTGAGAGAGAGCGCAATTTCAATAATTCGCTTTTGTATAGGAGTCTTTAGCAGTGGGAGAGACTCGGATGACCCACAAAGTTTGACAGGCTACCCTACACCTTGTCACCTACGAGTTGTGGTTGGAAACCACGCCACTAAACTCAATGATAGACCTTATAAAGGATAATTTCACGCGTTAGATCACTTCGCCACCCAATGGATACAGATATAAAAACAGAGAGAGAGAGAGAAATGGGGTTTAACATCCACTTGACACAAACTAGGTCATTATGGGACTAACACATGGTTTAATTTTATTTCAATAATTCGCTTTCGCGTAGGGGTCTTTAGCAGTGGGAGGACCTGGAGAAAATCCACGAGGTTGGACAGACGACCCTATTCCTTGTCACGTACAACTGGGGAATCGAAACCACGTCAGTTGACTCAATGACAGACCTTATCATACAGCGGCCATCCAACCCCCCCATTTAAAAACAGACACATGATAGCATTATATTCTCCAACATGTACATTTATTTACTGTATTATTAAGACTAACACAACTTAAGACTCAGTCAAGCTTATTAAATGAAATTTTAACATTGAAACCTCTTAGTTTAGTATCACTAAAAATACATAGAATTCAAACTCATTTAATAGAGAGACAACAATTCAACTGTATTAAAATATGCTTCTCTAGACACAATGGCTTCAAACTCTTCTGTCTTTGTTGTATGTTTCCTTAATAAAAACAACACATCACTTAATAGGTTGTCTTTAATATTGAGTAAATAAACAGCTTTACTTCAAATAAAAAACTTCAAAAAAACTTACAATATCTTGATTTAGAAACCACTTTTAAAAATAAACAAAAATCATTTGAGAATAAACCAATGACTTGAAGCCTTTCAATGTTTCACATTCTTAATTCACCATAAACTAACATCTAATTTACAATTAACAAAATAAAACCTAAATTTAGTGGAATAGCAACAATCTTAATCTCTATTCACTGAAAATTCTTTCAATAAACTAATCTTATAAAAAATAACTTCAAGCTTATCAGGTTTTCATTCTAAATTAATAGTTTTTATATGAAACAAAAGAATTTATAATTTATTGAAACACCCATGTAAAAATCAAATCAGTTTAAAAACCAATTTAAAAAACTTGAAGCTTTTAACAACTACTGTCTATAGGTTACTTACAATGGCTGCCAATTTTCACTCAAATAGTCTGATCTCTTTATGTCTAAAGGGTCATTAATTAAAATAATTTAATTAAAGAAACTAATGTTTATTCTGTAATATCTAAATCTAATTAATTTCTAGGTTAATTTGATGACTACTAGTCCAGTGGGTTTTTTCGTTGTTTTTCTTTTCCTACAGTAACTAATTACCATATTTGATTCATTTAAAACAATGTTATTTACCTAGTTTTGACAATAAACTATTAAAACTCCAATAAAGGTACTTTTATATTAAAATATTTTTGGTCCTAAAATTAAACAAATTGATTAATTCCAATCAAAGTCATGGTCGCCTATCTAACATCATGGGTTTTCATTGGTTTCCTTCCACTGTTATGCTCAAGCAAATTATGGAAATAAAATTGAACCATATGTTTGTCCCAAAATGACATGGTATATTTTGTATGGATGTTAAACCCAACTTCTCTCTCTACAGGCTAGCATTTAGATTGTACATATTTTTGTATGACATGGAGTAGAGTTGCCAGCCTAACCCCATGGGTTTTCTCTGGGTCCTTCTACTGTTAAAGATTCCCATATACAAGCTATTTATTGAAATAAATGTACATGTTAGTCCCAAAATAATCTAGTTGTATGTGACGGTGTGATGACCTTCAGAAGAAGCTGAAATTTGTATTCATATACAAGCAAGGCTGGATTAAAACCTAGGTAAGGAGTTGCAGACAGAGGGGATCGAGTGTAGTTCGGGACAGGGGGACCCATGGTACTTCAGGTAAGTTAACCAAAATGAATAAACCTTATTTAAGTTTGGTTCTGATTTTAGCTCTCAATTTTATCGACTTCGTTCTTGTTGCCTGTGGCAATTGCCCAAATATAAATCTAACCATGAATTCTTCTATAGTGTTTAACGTCCGCTACCACCGATATTGCAGACATGTTGTTTTTCTTTCTTTTTTTTGATTAAACTTATCACACGCACAGGACCGGTGAGTAAACCCACAAGATTGAGAAGGCACCCCTATCTTCAAGCCACATACCCACACACTAGGGATGGATGGAAACCACGACCACAAGAAAGAGGTGGCCAACCAGTTAGAGCTCAAAGTGTGACAGTCTAGACCACTAGGCCATCCCAACCCTGAATACAAATAAGACACATTTATACCCATCAATTAGGAGAGGGGTTAAATAGGCCTGTTCTCCAATGAGGTGTGTAAGAGAAGGGTAATCTTTCTGGTTTTCTCCCATTGAGCAATGAATTTTAATCCCACCATGACCCACTGTGTTAAACTCCATTTTTCTCTCTTTATGATAGCAAGTTGTATCCAATGGCCATATAGACACTCTACCCCAATATAGACACACTCTACTCCCCTCCCCGCATTCAAACCCTGCATCAAACTAAATGTGCCTGAATACAAATAGAAAGCCGACACTGCACTCTTTTCTCACACAGCCTTAACAGAACAATAGGATGTTAAAACCTGTTTTATTTCATACTTCTCTGGCATCCTTAGTCGTTACGATGGCACAAAATACTGAAGTCCTGTGTACGCATTGACGTGCATGTAAAAGATCCCTTGGCAGTTGGAATTCGATATAAGACTAGAACATTGCATCACTGTACAGGAGTATGGAGTATGACAGTTTTCATTAGTCCAGTTGGAGCAGAAGAGAAATGGGGTTTAACGTCCACTTGCCACATACTAGGTCATTTCGGGACTAACGTATGGTTTAATTTTATTTCAATAATTCGCTTGTGTGTAGGGGTCTTTAGCAGTGGGAGGAAACCGGAGGACCCGGAGAAAACCCACGAGGTTGGTCAGTTTGAGCAGAACAGTAGATGGTTAATGTTAGCTAAACCCCCATTTCATTTCTCCCACATGCAAATACTTTAAACCCTATATATAATACCCAGTACATATAACCAACTAAAACAAATTTATTTTGTGATTTTTATTATTTTCTGTTTTATTCAGGTCTGTTCTTCAAAATGTACAAAATTTACATCCATTTTTACATAACAAGAGTTTTACATTTTGACAAAAGAAAATTTTAACATAATGATATTTTAACAACGGTTTAGCAAATTTTGCACCATAATTATTACAAAGCCCATAGCACCATCAGTGTTTTGGTCAGAAATTATGACCATTGGCGAGAGTAGACAAAAAAAAAAAAAGAATATATGATTCTACGTTATATATCGATATATATCCTACAATTATTTACAAAAGAAAAAAAAATTGGAAAAGCAAAAAAAAAAAGCAATTTTATAAGTTAATTTGTACATGATTAATTATACAAAATTTAATTAATTTTTCCATAACTCATTTAATTAATATCTAATTAGAGGAATTATGGAAATAATCTATCCATTGATGTACATTATACAAAAACATTATTTAGCACAAATATACGTCTGGCATTCAGACAAATAATGAAAGAAAAACAAAATTAATATCACAAACGAATTTTGATAACTGCAGCAAGGGAATTAATCTTTTCTTGCTCGTAATTATCCTGGAGTTGGAAAATGGTTACATAGCGATCACAATTTTTGATTTATAACTCTCTTAACAACTATCCGTTATTACTTGATAACATCACAAAACGAGAAGCACCAACTACGAGAAGAGTCACATATATAACAATAATAAGTCTTTGCACTGTCACAGCCTAAGGGGGGTGTCGAAACCACCAACAACAACAACACCACACACAACCTAAAACGTAGATAAACTCAGACTACGCTTCATCCTTCCTCCTACTAATCGTCGTGACCGGGATGTGTTCTCTGTCGATGATGTGGTCGTTTCTGACTGGAATGGTCGGACTAGTCCCGTTGGACGGTATTGTGCCAGGGGTGTGGTTTCAACTCGGAACTGTGTAGCTTCTATCAATTGTCTGTAAGAGAAAAGAAGAAAATATTTAATACAGGTTCAAAATGATGACAATTTAACGAGGAAAAGACATAGTCATCCATACACCAGGCAAATATGTTTCCATGGAAACATAAAATTATCCAATTTCTAATTGGCAAGACACAACTACTAATCTACTATACTAGGTCATTTCGGGACTAACATATGGTCTTTAGCAGTGGGAGGAAACCGGAGGACCGGGAGAACACTCCTGATGTTGGACAGACGACCCTACCCCTTGTCACATATAACCAGGGATTTGAAACCATGCCAGTTGACTCAATGACAGGCCTTATGATACAGCGTGCATCCAACCCCCCAGATTGAGATATAAAGCCTTCAATATCTTTGGATATTGTTGTATTGGAACATATTTACATGTAGACAGATTTTATTTACCAGGGAAATTTTACAACATTGGCACGTCTTCCTTTCTTATTTCATAATCAAATGCAATTCTTACCTAGATAATATTTGGTTTTTGAATCTTTCTTCATTTAATTCTTTACGTAGTTGGGCTTTGGTTTTCTTCAACTGTGGACATAAATATGGGTGCTGGACGACGGCTAGAGCTGATGGTCGTTCTTTAGGATCGGGGTGAATCATACTCTGAAGATAAAAAAAATAATTGAATTAAAAAATTTGAATGACCGTAATTTATAATTTTATAGTTGTGTAATTGGAATAAACTTCCATAAAATATAAATCAATGTGAATCTGTATCAGTTTTTAAATCCAAAGTGAAAACTTAAATTATTTAGTAACTATCATTAACACTATAAAGTGAGAATATTTTCTAGCGCCTAGAGCATTCCCCAGTGAATTGAATAGCCATGCGATCAAATATCATTATTATTGTTTATCATTAAATGAACGTAATTTTTAATTTTAGAATATTCATAAAACATTTGAAAATTTAAAAGATATAAACTTAATTCTTACCTTTAATAAAGAATGAAACTCCTTGGAATAACCAGGTAAAGAAGGGAGATAACCATCACGTATTAAATGCCAGTCTTCACCATTTTTGGGTAAATGTTGGGAAGAAGCAGCTTCGTAGATGGAGAGAGCCAGCGAGAAAATATCACTCTTGGTTAGCTGTTCGTAATTTTCATTTAGGATTTCTCTCGGTAAATATCTACAATCACCTTCTTCTACCACAGGATTGGCTAATGATGTCACATGACCTAAATCACCGATTTTATATGTAACAGCTTCTTCACACTCTTCTTCCTCTTCACAAGATTCAACACCAGATTCGGGTGATGCAAGAAGACGTGGGTTGCGATGAATAAATATATTTCCTGAAAAAATATTGAATGACAAAATTAAATATCTGGATTATTGTATAATCAAAGTGATACATTTAAGTAAAATATTAAATATAATTTAATATGAAACGATCATAACTTTAAGGAAAGGGAATAAAAAATATCAAATAATAACACTCTAAACTTGGAAATGTTCAGTATTAATTCAAAACATTTTATTTGAAAGCTTACTTTATACATGTAACAAACTTTGACATATTGATAGATAAATAAAAGGTAAGGGAAGTAACTCTGTACATACCTGGTTTAATATCTAAATGAACTAGATTCTGTGAATGAATATATTTAACACCTAAAGCTACTTGATATAAAATCTGTTTTAATTCCGATTCCATAATTTGACCACCAGTTCTTTTATTATCTTCTACAATTTCTGCTAAACTACCTCCTATAAATCGAATACATAAAACACAATTAAGAAACAGGACAACGACATTTATTATAGAAATAACGTTCAAAGTTTAATTTGATTTCATTAAAATACAAAATAAATAAAGATTTATGAAACCATATAAATGACATATCTCACGTTAGATACGACTATGAAGCACATTCTGGTCTCTAATGAAACTCATTCCTTTCTCTACGAACCACTACCCATTCCACAATGTGATAAATAACAAGACAGGACTACGAACCCCCATCCCTTTCATGATGTGATAAAGACAACTCACCGTTACAATATTCATTCTGTATGTACATATGATCATCTTCTGCCCAGGCGGAGAAATATCGTACAACATGGGCATGTTTACCTAATACAGCATGGGCATATACTTCATTCATAGCATTACGTCTAAAAATAAATAACAATAATTAATTAATAATAATTACAAACTTCTACATGATCAGAGAAACAGTAAACTTATTTGAATACTGTTTAACATACACAAATCATATTTGAATATTGTCTCATTACATAATGATATTATTATAAAAAAATCTGCCCTAATACACAATAATATATTTGAATACCACCCTACACACCAGGATTACTAATAATAGTACTAATATAAACCAAGGATTACTAATAACATAATATTTGAATATTGTCCTACACAAGGATTACTAATAATACAATATTTGAATATTATCCTACATGAGAATTACTATAATAAACAATACTTACTCATAAACACTTCCAGCAACTGGTGTTTTAGATTTCTTAATGGCGTAAATACACCCATCTAATCTATGAACACATTTATGTACACTTCCATATTCACCATCACCCAATTTACACATTTCATAGAATTCTTCATTATAACGAGATGTGTTAATCTCATGTAGAGCGATTTTCTATAAAAAAAATATAAAAACATTATTTAAACATTAAAAAATTTAATTATAAAGATATTTAAACAATTAAAATTCATCACCCATTTATCAAGCAATTATATATATCCTTAAATATTTGCCAATTAAAAAAAATCCATTTGTCAAAATACAAATATAAAATGAATAGAATAAATTGCCTTTATTTGTCAATTAAGAAAAAAAAATGTATTAATCAATTTTTAATTGGTGACAATTTATTATTGGGTCTGTGTGAATTATTTACCTTGGATGATGGTAAATCATCATCTTCATCTGTAGAATCATCTAAAACAGACCTAAAAATAATAAAACAAATAAATTATTTTTAAATCTCAAAAATTAAAAATCTTAAGCAGAAATAATCCTTAATGTCAACTTTGTTATTTTTGCTGTATTGCCCAGATTTTAATTTAATTAAATCAACCCTTCAATCTATTGTGTCAGCTGATTGTGTTGTAAAATAACAGTGGCTTGGATTTTGACATTTCAACAATAACAATCAAGGCTGAAACAATGACCACTGACTTCACAGCTTTATTTCATTAACACAACAAAGGTTTCACACGAGAGAAGCCATTTTTGTTATTGTTTACTTTCTGACATCCAGAATCTGGGTCAAATGACCACTGCACTGGTCTAAACTGGATCAAACCAGTTCAATTAAACGGAACCCAAATCTCAAAACAAATCAGTTTTTGCCAACTTAGCAAAATTGTTAAAATTTAACTTTTGATATTCGAAATTTGACCAACATATGACAAAGATTATAAAATTGGACCCGAATTCAGATTTTCAAAATACTTGGCAGTGTACCAAAAAGATTTATTTAAAATTCAAATCTGCACACGACTACGATTCACGAATGAAACTGACCATGTGAATTATATTTATAATAAATGTACATGTATATTATAGAACTTTATAAACATTATAGGGCGTGGTCGGTATTTTCGATGAACCCAACAAGACAAAAAATATTATAAACACACATGACGTAAAAATAGGTCATATGACGTCAAATAATAAACAAAATGGAGGAAATTTTCCAAATACGGAAATATGAGTCATTATAAATTCTATTACGTTACTAAATTTAAGACGGTGTAATATTTCAATGTCTATTTTTAAAAAATATTTTTTTCTATACTTACTTGACCATATCGGTTCGGTTTCTTTTACCACCGACAAGACCAATTACTCGGTTGTTTACTGGTGTAAATGGATTGACATTTGCTTCAACTTTCTCAATTCGGTTGGCTTTCTTCTCGGATCTGATTTTTCTGTCTTTAAATTTCTGTCTTTGGGCTTTTTCTAATAATGATTTCGGGGTGTGGGGGGTGTCAAAGAGACGAAGTGCTCTGAGACGTCTGTGAGGCGGTGAGTTTGAATTTGATGTCGGTGTTGGTGGAATGTCTGGGATGTCCATTCGAACGGGCACTTGTTCGTCATCGGTTTCGGGATCAAACTTTGTATTCAAAACCAACGGTGATAATTTCCTAGATCTAGTGATTCGACGACAAGGTTTAGGAGAAAACACTGGCGATCTAACAGAACAGTCAAAATCCAAATAATCAGTGTGAATTTCGTCTGAAAACGGTGAAGAACTCTCGTGAAAGCCGGTGTCATTCAACATATCCAAATCTTCGTAGGTCAAGGTTTTTACTAAACAATCTTCATCAAAAGTATTCCGTAAGATTGATCGGCGTCCGCGCTGTGGCTTCGGCAAGAGACACGCCATGTTGAAAACACAATAAATACACAAAATTATATCCAAAAGCACTGTAATATTGAAATGTCACGTTTAGATCACGATCTGAAAGCTGACCACTATTCAGGGATTACGCTTCATATACCCCTCGCCACGCTTTTTAGATTTGGCGGGACCGTTAATCACGTGACGATTTCAACCAATCAGAGTGTTCGTTACGAGGAGTTTTGATAGGGTCAATCAGCCGTTCAGCCAATCAATAGAGGTTACACCACGAATTGTTTAATTAAGTCACATGGCTTCACAAATTAGTAAAGTTGCTGTATTTTAAGTAAGGACCGTCCCACCCCAAGCTGATAACATGAAGCCATCCCATTTGCTGGGTTTTGTTAGAAATCAAACAATATTTATTCTTAATTAGCATAATTTGTAAAAGTCCATTCTCAATGAAGCTAGTCCACTCATGAACTTAGAACAAAAAAATAATTAAGTGTTCATTAAGGCGTTTTGTCATTAAAACTTTGAAATTATAAAAATATTATTTCAATTTTACATTGAGACCATTAGTAAAAAAAATACACTCTCGTTTCAATAGAGCATTTAACACATTTAGATTATTTCTAATGGTTGTTTTCTGAGTTTATCAAATTCCAACTTTTTTTCTAAGACTTTCTTTCCGACTTTGCCTATAGAATATATTGTCTTAGTATAAATTAGAGAGATTTCAAAAACTTTAATAAGAAATGTTTAATATACCCATCGTTGAATAAATAACAAACTTGTAATAATACATGGGTTTATTTCTAGGACCAATGAACTATTTTTTGAATTGTTAAATTTATAAATGAATAAATTTTCTACTTTTTGAATTTACCGGTTAATTTTGATATTATGAAATGTTTCCTGATAAGAAATTTAGCCTCGAGGTCATAATATGCATTTAGCGATAACACTATTTATAGATACTGATGAAATATACGGGTCATATGAGTATGATATATGTCAAAAAGTTAATTACAGTGGCAAATAGGCTTGTATTCTATATTCTAATGCCACTCCTGTGTGTGGGTGGGGTGGGGGCATATGACCAGGTCTGGGGAAGCTCCTTATCTAGGTTAATTTTACCCGAACAATTTGTGTTTTTGAGCTTGATAACTTTCGCTCTAGTTTCTATGTTTTTAATTTCGATGATGTTATTTGTTTGTTTTCTTGTTTGTTTGTTTGTTTGCTTTGTTTTTTTTTTGTTTTTTTTTAGGGGAGGGGGGGTAAATTGATTTTGAATTTTATTTTTAATCTGCGATTTAGCTGTTCAATGAACTGGCAATATTACATAAGTTATATATAAACTAACAATGATGATGTAGAATTTGAACTCCCGTTTTAATAAGAGGATGAGCATAAGGGATAAAGCACCTGTGTCGACCGGTAGTACTACCCCTAGGGATCGACCCCCTCAGGCTTTAACTTAACAATGGTACTGTTTCCTCTATTATTTTTACTGTTATTCCTATAAACCCCTTTAAGTGACCCTTAACACACATATAGAGTAGCCACCTGTGTGCAGTCGAACCCTAGTAACTATATAATACGTACCATTATGTCTTGGGTGATTTTACATACATGCTTTATAGGAAAAGCAGGTTTTATGGTATGCCCTATTTGTGCCTAAATCATTAATTTGTAGAACATTCATAAGATAGATTCTTTTCATATTATAAAAACAATGGCTGTTGTTTTTGTTTTGGGGATTGCGGGGAGGGATGGGGAGTTACATGTGTTTTTGTTGTGTTGGGTTTGTTTAGGGGGGGAGGGGTGCAACGATATCTATCACATGACCCCAAACCTTTTCAAAATCTAATTCTGAAATACTCAAAGTAATCTATCTTCCAGTCGTCTATAAATCTCCCCCATCATTTAAATATGTAATCTCAGGCTTTATGTCCGTCGCTCGTACGATGGATGATCGTCTACGAATATAAATTTGTATACAAATGATCGATGAACAAATTACCTACAATTTTTCATGACAAATTGAAAAAAGATGCACAAAACAAAATATTATACGAAGCGTAACAAATAAACTGTGATATATCACATTGATATACCATATATCATGACGTAATGATATAACATCGACGTCACAACACATTCACAGAATTAAGTTTGGAATGCGCGCTAATGCAAAACGATTAATAACACAGTCTTTGATAAGTCGGCGATCATTTTTTAGACTTTCGAGGTTTAATTATGTAGAAATATAGATTTATGGTAGTATATAGCTGGTGACAATTATTTTAATATAGATTTTAAACCCGTCAAAATGTCAGAATACCTCATCAATATACCCATCATTTGTCGTGTGTCACTCGTCAAAATGACGTCATATAGATATGTAAATAAAAATGGCTGATATGACGTGTTTTAGTTGAAGACTTTATTAGTGACTTCTGGTGTCAATTCTGGGGTTTCGATGCCTCGAAGAGTGGTCAATATACAATTATAATGGCGTTAATTGATTTACGAGGGACATGACGCCCGTTTAACCCTCTTCATTTTAATCTAGCACTCCGTTCAACTTCTTTAACACCCGTAATAAACAAACACACCCTATTTAAAATCGTATAAACCACAGTTTTAATGGCTCAAAATCATTCTTTAAAACGCAGCATAAAATTTTAAAATAAATGTTTGTTCATGCCAAGATGTTACTATGGAGGTCCTTAAAATGCCACAGCTGACGCCCCAATTAAAATGTCCATTAATGGAAATATTATGGACAATGTGAGGAGGGAAAAAAACATATAAAACTTAGAAAATTAACAGGTTTCGTTTAGAGTATGTGAATTTGATGTAATTAAAACCAATTATCCGATATTTAGATTGACGTATTAATTCCAGGAGTCTTAATATCATTTTCGGATTATTCATTGATTCTTTAAGAAAGAGAATATTATTTACAAGCTTTTCGTTCGTAAAGTTTTAACAAAATAATATTCATTCACCCAAGTAAATATTTAATATAGGAAAGATAAAATAATAGTAGACCCAGAAAAAATAACCCTGTTACACGCAAATTCCTCATACTCTTAATACCAATTAACGATTTGGAGATCTTAGTAAGTTCGACAGGCATTGAAATGAAATGAAATGAAATGAAAGGGGTTTAACGTCCTTCTGTTCTGCTCCGAACTGGGCTAATAAAGACGGGCATACGCCATACAGTGTGCTATGAGGGAAATTTTGCCCAGAGAGCGACACTACGGCCTACTCTTATCTCAAATTCCAACTGTCAAGGGATCTTCTACGTGCACGCCAATGGGTACACGAGACCTCGGTTTTTCGTCCCATCCGAACGACTAGACAGCTGTCCTTGCCAGGCCCTCCGTCCTGCATCACTGACAAGGGGGGACCACGCCGGAAAATCTGGATGAACTTTTTTGGCCAATGCAGGGATAGAACACCCGACCTCCACAGGCTAGCGAGCCAGCGTCTTACGCGCTCTTACCCAAACTGAAGTTTGCAGATATAGGGGTTGTAGCAGTCAGACAACATGCAGGGTTAGAGTTAGGGTTGTGGAGAATTTGAAATGAAATGAGATTTAACGTCATAGGCCCACTGTTCTACTCCGACTATCTGGGCTAATGAAGACGGGAATGTGTCACGAGGGAAATTTTTCCCGCACAACGGTGCAACGGCCTACTCTTATATCGAATTCCAACTGCCAAGGGATATCTTACGAGCATGCCAATGTGTACACGGGACCTCAATTTTACGTCCCATCCGAACGAATAGACAGCTGCCCTTGTCAGGCCCTTCTTCCCGCACCACTGACAAGGGGGAAATCATGCCGGAAAATCCCGATGAACTTTCTCGGCCATCACCTGGGGCGAACCGCGCGACCTCCAGGCTAGCGAGTTAACGTCTTACTTAGCCACCGTGGCTCCCGTATGGAATTTGAAAACACGTGTGTAGGATTTGAAAACACGCCCAATCCACGTTTCATTAATCGTTACAACTTGTATATCGTTAACACACGTACAAAATGCTTTGATTTGAAATATCGTATGTACATTTTTCGTCCCATCTGAACGACCCCACGTCGTACCTTGACAGGCCCTTCGTCCTGCACCTCTAACAAGGGCTAACCACACCGGAAAATCACGATGAACTTTCTCGTCCAACACTTGTTTAGCGAGCGAAAATCTTACTTACAGATCCACTGCGGCTTCATGATTTGTATTAAATTTAGATAAAGAGCTAGCCATTCTTGCTATAATAGTTCGAAAATAGATAATGTAAAATGAATAATTTGAAAATTTCATTCAAGTTTACTCTATTGCGAGCGAAGAAATGAAATGAAATGGGGTTTAACGTCCTACTGTTCTGCTCCGAACTGGGCTAATGAAGACGGGCGAGCGAAGATATTAGCCTTTGAAGGTTTGACAAGACGTGTGCAATAATTTCAACCACTGTACTGGTGTTCGAACCTAAGTCTCGCTCCTCCATTTTTAGCTTAAATCAAAATATGGCTGAGAGAGTTGATTATGGCCTGGATAAGTTAATTAATGTCTAATTAATAATTTAGAAAACATTTCAGGCCTAAAGAAAGACCTGCAATTGGCAGATTTAGCTCTTGCATAATGTATGTTTAAGCCAGCGTTTTAAAAATTTGGGGAAGTTGGTGCTCATTTCATTATAAAATTTAGAGAAGTTGGTGTTTATTTGAATATGTTTTGAATTTGAATATTCCATTTATTTTCTTGACCAATATCTATAATGTCGCGCGTCTCTTTAAATTGTCTATTCATAGAATTATATTAAAGTTCTGGGACGTTATTCACAGAGTTTGGGAACATCAGTGAGAACAGGGGGCTTTAGGCTAACTTCACACATACTTTGTTTAAGCCAATACCAAACTTATAAAAATCTAAATTTTATTGATGACTTGGAGCCGGTTGACACTTCAGACTTAAAAACATTGGTTTTATTTATAACAAATTTCTTATTGAAAGGGGGATAATCCGGTATTTTTTTACTCATTAAAGTTCATTTTATAGTCGAGCTTAAATACACAGGATTTTATTTGGTATTGTAATAACTATAAACTGTACCTAATCCCTTATTTTACATACATTACGTCGTTCAGGGGCTGATTTCT